GTGAAGCGATGAAGTTAAAATAATAATGAGAAGTCGAGATATATACGAGAAAGCCAAAGTAAAAAAGGGAAGCAACATGCCCAGGTAAGTAAAAGGGGGAAAACCCGATCGAGAAAAATCGGGCAGCATAACGACATAAAAATGGATTTTTTTTTTTACACCTGCAATTTACACAACTATGAAAGTACACAAGCATATGAATGACAACATCCAGTATTTCCATCAATCTCAAGCATATATGTAACATAGATAAAGAGAAGAGTAAAGAAATTGTGTAAGATGGGAATATGAGCAATGTGAGCCAACTTCTACAAGTGTACAAGCGCAAATTTCATACTAAAGCAGACATAAACATGGTGTAACTTCACAAGTGCAAAAAAAAAAGTTTGTTTTGGCAAGTATAGATTGATAGACACCTCTTTTGTGTATGAGAAGAGGTGGAGAGTGTACAAAAATAAAGCTTAGGTGTTATGTATATGAATGGCCATATAAATGCACAAGAAATAAACACATATGACGTTTTCCATGAGTGTTTCAAGTAGATTCATTCCCAAATCCGAAAATTCTATATGATGAAGGCTTCCAAACAAAGCCACACATAAAGTATTAGCTTGCACGTAAGAAGGGCTCCAAAAAAAAATCTAAGTATGAGACATATAACTTGCACATGAGAAAAGCTTCAAAAAGCCATGTGCAAGGCCAACCCTTGGCCTACTAAAATACTTTAAAAGCTAAAAGGAAATCTCATATTTTCACATGTAAGGGAAGACTCCCAATGCCATGAATAAATCCCAATACTTTAGCACATGAAAGGTATTCCAAATGTCATGAACACACTTCACATTTTGACATAGAAAGAGGACTTCATAAGCTATACAGATCTTCTTTTTTTTTTTAGGAAGAAAAAGAAATCTCGAAAGCTGCATATTTCGCAAAGCTAACCATACCCAGCAGATGTGAGCATGAGAAAGAGTTTAGAGAGCCATATAAATCCTAATGTTGATGTATAAGCAACATTTCAAAAATTAAGCACATGTATTGAAGCTTAAATGTAGAAAGAGAACTTCAAATTCTAAATTATATATCATGTGAAAGAGAGTTACTTGGAGTATAAGCAATGTTTCAAATTCCTCCCCCCTTTTTATAGCAAAAGGGGGAGGAAGGAGTCACTTGCACTCACCTGGGCAGTGAGCCGAGCTGAGAGAAGCGACAAGAGTGGCGTGGGGGGGATGACGACAGTGGCGTAGCTTTGTCTCAGGGGAGCAGCTCGCGTGGCACGACGTGGAAGAAGACGACAAGGATCGCAGAGGCGTGGGAGGGGAAAGCTGGAGCGTGACTGGAGTAGGTGAAGACAGAGCGCG